GAGTTTGAGCATGCGAAATTCTGTCGTACAGCACTGCAAAAAGGGGTGGGATCAAACAAGACGATTAGTTATTTAAGCAAGCGATCGGCCCATGTTTTAAATTTCTGTCCAGAGAGGTAATGTTTTGATTCTCAATTGGTCTCACACAATCATGTGATGCGATTTCGCAGGTCAGAGTTCACAAAGCTAGAACTTTTCAATGCAGCGAAATGCGAAACTTGCTGCACGACCTTACATTTCTGTGCTGCCGCATTCACATGCGTATAAATGAAAGTCTGGGGAGAAAAGTGCAGTGTGACCGCAGCTTTAATCCTTATAAAGATACCATATTGCTGTTCAAATCAATCAATGGGATGCTCTCATATTTCCTGTGATTGGCTGTTCGGTGTCACACTTTCAGCTGCATGCAGTCCTGTGTTAATCACAAACTCTGGGTTAACAGAGAATGTTTATATAATGTGTATAAGCATTGTGAAACAACTTAACCTGATCTTAACCAGGCTGAATTTGTTTGATTTTTGTCAATCAAGAGTTTGTTCAACTTATTTTGTGCAACAGGCTTCTGATATTGCAGAATGTAGTTTCCTAAAGCTGCAGGGGGTTTAGTAGGTGGGTAAACACAAATCTCAATGTCAATAGGTGTTAAATCGGCATGTCTGTTATCATTAAACATCAGGGAACTTCACACTGCTCCAGTGATGTGTTTAAAGATTAGTTTAGTCAGTGTCTGGAAACAGTCTGAACCTGCTGGTTTAATTGTCTTTGGTTTTAATGTCCTCTTCGCAGATTGTAGGTTGACTGAGAGACATTTAGGTGTGATAAAGCTGTGATCTATGGCTTGTTGTTGTAAATTTCTTTGTTTAAACGTGATTTGTTTATTTCAGAACTACCACTCAACGATCCCAATTCACACTTGGAAATAGAGAAAAGCGTGAAGATGAAGAATACAACAAAACCCTGCAGAACAGAGCATCACAATGCTGAAGGACAAAGAGGTTGATGTCTGTTCTTGATTCTTCATTAATGATGCTGAAGAGCGAAGACTATACATCAGTAACCCGAGTATATTTAGTGCCAGTCCACTTTTTTGCCGCCCTGGTTTCCATTCATTATTCCCATTTTGATAATTAAGGTCTTTTTAAAAGCGAAGCACAGAAACAATGCATTCAGATAAACGGGTACATTTTCAGCAGATAAGTAATACAAATAAAATGATTATATATTTCTGGATTCTGGATAATTATGCGATAGCAAAGATATTAAAGATTAGATTAAATATTGCTTGTTAACATTATTTAAAGCACTGTTTGTTAACAAACTAACAATGAACTTTATTGTCAAAAAATAACCTTAACAAATATAAATAAATATTTGAATAAATGTATTGTTCATTAGTTTTTCATGTTGTTAAATTGATTATCTAACATTGCTATAAATATACAACCCTAAATCAGAATAAAAAGTAGGACAGTATGAAAAACGCAAATAAAAAAAAGTTGTGCTTTTAAAATTTACTTTAACTTTATGTATTTTATTGCAGACAGTACAAAAGACATTATTTAATGTGTTCCTCGTGATTTTTATTCTTTTTTGTTTTTTTAAATAAACACATATTTTAATTTTGTTTCTTGCAACACGTTTCAAAAAAAAGTTGGAGCAGTAAATCATTCACTTTGTAATGTTGCCATTCCTTTTCACAACACATAGAAGATGGTTAGGGACTGAATACAACAAGTGATGAAGTGTTTCCGGTGTAATTTTGTCCCATTCTTCCTGCAAACAAGTCCTAAAGTAATCAAGAGTACAGGGTCTTCGTTATCGCATTTTGCACTTCAAAATCAACCACATATTCTCTATTGGAGACAGGTCGGGACTGCAGGCAGGCCGGTCAAGTGCCTGTTTCCTCTTCCTTCGCAGCCAGGACTTTGTAATGTGTGCAGAACATGGTTTTGTATCTTGTTGAAACTGCATGAGTGTCCCTGAAAAAGATGTATTTTGAAGGCAGCATATTTTGCTCCTAAATCTCCATGCACTTCTCAGCATTAATGGTGCCTTTTACAGAAGTGCAAGTTACCACTGACACAACCCTATGCCTTTCTTTAGTGTAATAATTGATAATTTGATAAAACATACTTTAGTGACTCAAATATATGAACGCATTTAAAAGACATCTAATTTATTAATGAAATGTATACATTTTCAGTGTTTTGAAGGATATTTAGTGACAATTTTAGAGGGTACTGAAGGTCAAACTATACAAACTATGTGTCTAATTAAATTTTTTTTAATTAAAAAGAAAAAAAATAGTCAGTTTGGGTTGGTCAAATGTATATTTTTATTTTATACATTTTTAATTATTAATATTTAAGAAAGATAATACTGAAAAAAGACATTTCTTACAATTAAAGAGCTGAGAGCTGACCCCCTATACATCTTGTTTTGATGTCATTAAGGGGGTATAAAGCATTAATTAGGGGTGTCAATCTCCCCAAACCCTCCTGTAATTTGCACTCTGCCTTTCTCCCAAAAAATACCGAAAATACTGATTCATCTAACCACAATACACATTTTCACGGCGTGATAGTCCATCCCAGATACCTCCGACCCCAGAGAAGTTGACAGCACTTCGGGACACTGTTAACATAGGGATTTCTTTTGGCACAGTACAGTTTTAAATTGTATTTGTGGATGTAACTATGTATTGTGGTACTAAACAAAGGTTTGCCAAATTAGTCCTGAGCCCATGTGGTGATATCGCTTATAGATGAATGACGATTCTTCATGCAATGCCGTCTGAGGGATCAGAGATCACAGTAGTTCAGCTTAGGCTTGTGCCCTTATCTTTTTCGCACTGAAATTCCTCCAGATTTCTTAAATCTTTTAATGAATTTATGCACTGTTTAGGTGAAATATTCTTCCTATCTTTCTTTGAGGAACATTGTTTCAAAACATTTCAATAATTTTCTCATGTATTTGTTGGCAAACTGGCGATCCTCGGCCCATCTTTGCTCCTAAAGGACTAGACCTTTCTTGGATGCAGCTTTTTTGAACCAAATCTTAGTTACAATCACCTGTTGACATCACTTTGACCAATTTACCTGATTGTCAGCCCTAAATTGCTCCTGTCCCAACTTTTTTTGAAATGTGTTGCAGGTCTGCAAGACAGGAAAGGATGTATATTTACAAATGACATAAAGTTGACCAGACAAAGCATAAAATATTTTGTATTCAGATTGTCTGCAATCAAATACAAGTCAAAGTAAATTTGGAAAGCACTACTTACTTTTTCAATTTGCATTTTCAATATTTTTCAGATTTGGTGTTGTATATTTATATCTATTTATAATATATATATTGCTAAACATTTGATCTCGTCTTACTTTTCAGATCGCATGGAGGGAAACAAGAAAGGAGAAACAAAGGCCAAAAAATCAGTCAGGAAGAAAATCAGTGGGAAGAGTTTCCGAAGCAAAGGTGATGTAAAGAAACACATGCTCATCCACACCGGAGAGAAGCCGTATCGATGTGATCAATGTGGGAAATTTTTCCCATACAAACAAAGGTTTAAACTACACCTGGAAGCCCATGCCAAGGGGAATCCATACAAGTGTGATGAGTGCGGGGAGAGTTTCAAAACCAGGTTACAATTGAGGAGCCACATGACACTCCACCCTGAATACAAGCCGTACAAATGTGATCAATGCGAGAAGAGTTACGGGAGAGAAGACCACCTTCAGAGACACATGAAGCTTCACACAGGGGAAAAGCCGCACAAGTGCGAACACTGCGGAAAGAGTTTCCCGATGAGAGATTTGCTTAGGAGCCACTTAATGGTGCACAGCGAAGTGAAGCCGTACACATGTGATCAATGCGGAAAGGGTTTTACACTCAAAAAACGCTATAATGAACACATGAATATTCACACTGGAGAGAGGCCGTACACATGCGATCAATGCGGGAAGGGTTTCCCTTATGAACAGAGTCTTAATCTGCACATGAGATTTCACCGAGGAGAAAAACCCTTCACTTGTGATCAATGCGGCCAGAGCTTCTCCCAGAAAGGAGGCTATAACATCCACATGAAAATCCACACTGGAGAAAAGTCGTATACCTGCGATCAGTGCGGGATGAGTTTCAGACATGGATCCTCTCTCAAATTACATATGACGCACCATACTGGAGAAAAACCATTTCACTGTGATCAATGTGATAAATGTTATAGTACGGCATTATTCCTGAAGAACCACATAAAAACTCATGATAAGGCTCAAATTTACTCATGCTTTACTTGTGGAAAGACTTTTAATCAATTGAGGGGTTTGAGGTTGCATGAGAAAAGGCACAGCCTTACAAAGCCTTTTATGTGCTTTGATTGCGGAAAGTGCTACTTTACAGATACTGAGCTGAAACAGCATCTGCCAGTTCACTCTAATGAAAGACCTTACATGTGTTCACTCTGTTATAAGAGTTTCCCCAGAATGGGAAGCTTGATAGTTCATGAGAAGACCCATAATGGAGAGAAACCCGATTGCCGCACTGGAAGTAAAAAGAGCCAGGATGAGTGAGAACATAATGAAACATCTTTATTAAATATGTTTGCTTTTTGATGTAAACTTTATCATGAAGCTTGTTTGTTTTCAGGTCAGGTATTCTGTGACACTATTACTCGGGGATAGTTTATAGTCTTTTATTGAAGTAGTTGTTTACAAAATGTTCTTTTCAATTAACTTTGTAACTTGCTAACAATTATATTCTTTTTCTTTTAACTTTTAAATGTTATGAATCTTTCTCAATTGCTTTAACTGTTTTTTTATAGGCTTAAATATTAACTTTAGCTTATATATTCTGTTTAGTATATATTGAATTCCATCTTTTTGTGCTTTTTAAAAATTCAACATTAAGAATTTTACAGCAACAACTTGATAATGCCAGTCAATAACAGTTTAAGAAATGCATCTAACTTGTATCTCAGAAAAAGAATAAAGTTCTTAAACACCTAATATTGGTTTGTGACAGTCTTTAAAGTTGAAAACTTCTTATGTTTAGGCCTGTCACAATAGGGATTTCTTGTTGTGCGATATATAGCAATGGAGATATTATTGTCATTTTGAGATGATTTTATGCCACTGATTGTGTAATGATTATATAACAGAATAATGCAAATAGTCATAAACACTTTAAAATGCTTTTCATTTTTAACGTTTTTTAGATTCCATAATTTGATAAAAAGTCCCATTATTTATTGAATGTCCTATTATGTAAACGCCCAATTATAAATTTTGACACTGGTCAGAACGTCAATGTAAATGTAAATTTGCTTCAACGTTATTTTTGAATTTGTAAATATATATTGCGATGGCAAAAATGATTGAGGTCATCTCCAAGTATTGCACGACAAGTCAACAAATTGATTATTGTGACAGCCCAACTTATTGTGACGGCCTGCACTCACATTACATTCGGGCCTGGGCATGCTTACGTCATCGATAATGAGCTGTCCAGTAAGCGCTTTCACTCAGCACAGTGGAGATTTCTTTAGTTATATCAGTTTAGTGGTTTGAGATGTAGTGACAGGCTGACGAATATTTGGCAGAATAGTTTAGCCACTTTTGACATTCATAAAGTTGTGCTGCAGGTATTAGGTTTCCTGAAGGTGCAGCTGTCGTGCAGTGAGGGGTTTGCATCTTTAATTATTACGACAGTTTGCGCTCATTGAACAGTAAGAATGATTAATAAACACATATAAAACAGTCCCTCAAAAGTCACGTCTCGCTTTTAGTTTCGGGCTCAGGCATGTTTTGCACTTACACACAAGTGTACCGCCCCAAAGCCCAAGTGAACCGAGGTCTGGAACACCTCTTCCAACCGGGCCAGGACCAGCCAAGTGAACCATGCCTGAGCCCAATTTAGAGCACTCACACTTTACAAACGATCAGGGAAACGAGCCTGGGCACGGTTTGGATAGCATAGAGTGGGTAGGCCCTAAGTGACAAAGCGTCCCTAAAGACAATTATGAACAAAATCACTCAATGAATGAATGAATGAATTAATGAATGAATGAATGAATGAATGAATGAATTAATGAAAAATACTTTCTTTAATCTGGGCAGTTCAAGACTAAGTTGGCCATGTGAACAAAACATAAAAAAAGAGTACACAATTCATAAAGGTTAAGTGAACTCTTTGCCCAAAAAATGGCCACCCATATAGAAAATATATGGGAAATAATAAAATTCTACAATAAAAATGTGTAAATCCCACACAATGCAGATACATATTTTACCCAAGTGAAGGTTTGAACCTATACAACATGCTCCTATATCAAACACTCTCTCACACACACTGTAAAAAATATGATCAATTATTCATGACAACATATGTTTTAGTTCATTGTAACTTTATAAACTAAGTTAATCATGTTCCAACCTAATTTTATAAGTTACGCAAGCTGTATTAAGTCAGTTTAACATAATATAAGGTCAATGTAGGGGCAGCATGGTGGTGCAGTGAGTAGCACAATCGCCTCACATCAAGAAGGTCGCTTGCCATTGCTGGGTCAGGTGCATGGCGTTTCTGTGTAGAGTGTGCATGTTCTCCCGTGTTTCCTCCGGGTGCTTTGGTTTTCCCAACAAGTCCAAAAACATGTGGTATATGTGAGTTGGGTAAGCTAAATTGTCCGTATGTGTGTGAATGAGAGTGTATGGGTGTTTCCCAGTGATGGGTTGCAGCTGGAAGGGCATACGCTGCGTATAACATGTGCTGGATTGGTTGGCGGTTCATTGCGCTGTGGCAACCCCAGATTAATAAAGAAACTAAGAAAATGAATGAATGAAGTTCAATGTACTCATAAGGTTAATTTGATTTAGCTTAAATTTTTAAAGCAACAAGGATTTTTTTTACAGTGCACACACACACACACACACACACACACACACACACACACACAAGCAGCACACTGCACACACACTGCAGGTAGTTTTACTCCCCAGGTAGCAAAGAATTTTGGCCTAGATTTGGCATAAATCTGGCACAGCAGGTATTCATGCGGCATTGGCATACAGCACATGAGCCACACATGGCCCTGGTTTGGCAGAGGTGGCATCTTCTTCAAGGCAGCACACAATACTTGGGCCAGATGTGAAATGTAGTATTTGGCTCAGATGTCAATAATTGATATGTGGGCCATGTAAGTTTGGACTATCTTGACCCCCATTTAAAATACATTTTTACTGTTTTCAAATAAAGAAAAAAATTCTACCCATCAGATCGCTTCGAGAAAAAACGCAATGCTTCATGGGTTTATCAATTTCATTGCAGTTAGGATGCACCAACATGTGGCCCAGTTCAGGCCCAGTTATGGGTTACTAACTTGGCGCAGATAGGATCCATGCTTGGCCATTGTCTGGTATTCAGACTTGGTCTGGTCATGTACCGTAATTCAAAGCATGTGGGCCAAGAAAAAGCTGACTGTGTGGGCCAGAGCTGGGCGAGAGAAATTTAGCTATGTGGGTCTTGCTGAATTAAATATTAGCCATAAAAATAAGTATATTTCTACACAAACATCCAACAGAATAATTATGCCAAATGATTTTTCTTTTATTTTTTAATAATTTCTTTTATCTGAATGGTTTGAGGCTGCTATTTATAAGTTTGCCACTTGACCAACCAAAAATAAGGACTTAATTTAACAGTGCTGAGCCCTCTGAGTCAAACTCCATTATTTGTCCCATATGAAATGAATTGGCATACTAAAATTAAATTCATCAATCGTAATTGTAGCAATTATGGGCCTGAACTAATCGACAGCTAAGTGGTAAATAGCTATCACAGGGTCTGACCAAGAAGTAAAAAATCCAGAATCCAACGATCCAGAATTTGTCACATACATGAGCCCATTTGTCTTATTTTGACTGCTATGCCAACATAAACTGTGAAAATAATGCATCTAAAGGGCCAGCACAGTTCACAGTGGGTAACACTATTGCCTCACAGCAAGAAGGTGGTTCTAGCCTCAGCTAGGTCAGTTGGCATTTCTGTGTGGAGTTTGCAAGTTCTCGTCATGTTCGTGTGGGTTTCCTCCGGGTGCTCTGGTTTTCCCCACAAGTCCAAAGAGGTACAGGTGAATTGGGTAAGCTAAATTGGCCGTAGTGTATGTGTGTGAATGAGAATGTATGGGTGTTTCCTAGTAACGGGATGCAGCTGGAAGGTAATTCACTGTGTAAAACATGTGCTGGATAAGTTGGCGGTTTATTCCACTGTGGCGATCCTTAATGAATAAAGGGACTAAGCTGAAAAGAAAATGAATGAATTGTTGTGTGTGTGTGTGTGTGTGTGTGTGTGTGTGTGTGTCTTCTGCAGTAAAGATGTCTTACAAAAGAGAAAAGGCATAATTAAAGTAATAAAGGTCTGTAAACCTTTGGAAACATTAATATTTAAGAATCAGCAAGGAATGTGTCACTGCTCTAGCAACTCCATGCAAATGTCAACCTTGTTATGAAAAAAATAAAGTTTTTACCAAAATAGAGAATGCGTTTTTACAGTTTTGTTGTGTAGGCTTGTATTTTACAGTATTTTAATTTAAAATACTCAAGTCTATGTTTTTAAACTATTATATTTGATTTACCAAAGTCACACAAGTGCAATTTCACATCAGTCTCATCCATAACGGAGATGCGTCACATTCATAACGGAGATTTTTCCCTCATAAATGCAAAAATGTCAAATAAAATAAAATCCATTATGTTTGTTTAACAGTGAGCCGACTCTTATCCTTTAGCATTGTTTATTTTGGGTTGTGCAGTTTAATTCACCAAATTTCTACAAAGTATGATGTATACTGTAAACTCGCAGACTATTTTGTTCAAATCCATAACATATCTGAAAAAAATTTTACAGATTGATATTTTTCTGATCCCTTAACTGAGTGGTTAGTTGTTTTGGAAAATATAAATAGTCGTTTCAAAATAATGTTAACATATACTTTATAATCAGGGGTCACCACAGCGGAATGAACTGTCAACTTATCCAGCGTACAGTATGTTATACGCAGCAGATACCCTTCCAGCAACAACCCATACACTCTCATTCACAAACACACACTCATTCACTACGGCCAATTTAGCTAACCCAATTCATATAGCGCATGTCTTTGGACTGTGGGGGAAACCGAAGCACCTGGAGGAAACTCACACCAACACAGGGAGAACATGCAAACTCCACACAGAAATACCAAAAAACCCAGCCGAGGCTTAAACCAGAGACCTTCTTGCTGTGAGGCGATTGTTCTACCCACTGCGTCACCCCACCACCCATTATTATTAATATTATTTTTATTATTATTACTATCCCATATTTTCTTGAAAGTAATCCATATACTTCAGCTTAACGTTTATTCTTTATACTCAATTAAAGTCTGAAAATTAAAGTATAAAAATAAGCAGAAGGATCGGCCTTCAATATTGAATGGAAACAAAAGAACGACAGAAAACAAAGGAGGGATTTTTGGAGACTGAGCGTTTTGTTTATAATTATATAGTGCTAAATTGATAATGATTACACCAAAAAAACAGAATTTAGAACAAAAAAAAACTAGCATGAACCACAATTATAACCACTTATTTTTTTACTTTATTTTTCATTGATTATTAAAAATAATGACAGAAAAAATAAACACTAGATGTAAATAAAAACAAATTACAAAAAAATAATAATGATAAAAAAAAACATACATTATTTTCAATTTCAAAGGAGCTGGAAATACTATGTCCTGTTCGGAGATAAAATAATAAGTACCCATCTTTGTTTAAAAATATGCAATTTCAATTGTGGTTGAGCAGTCATAAACTTCATTATATATATATATATATATATATATATATATATATATATATATATATATATTTTTTTTTTTTTTTTTTTTTTTTTTAGATAGAGAGATAGATAGATAGATAGATAGATAGATAGATAGATAGATAGATAGATAGATAGATAGATAGATAGA